GCAGAAGATCCCGGATGACAAGCGAGATGTTGGCTGTTCTTGAGAACTAGCGGGATCTCTAGTTCAGTCTTACCAGTAATGCGGACAAGCAGGTACTGGATAGATCCCAGTTCAGCAGTAAAGTCTTCATCCTCTTGGGAAGCCTTAGGAAGGTTTTCTGGCAATCTCCAACCTTGAAAGGCTTCATTTTGGCTGAGAAATGTCTGGACACTCTGCAGCTTCACTAGTTCGGGAACATCCTCACATTTACCAGTCATAACAACGTAGGGCGCCTGTCTGTCAATGATCAGGAAATGTGTTTCAAGGTCATCCTTGTGCCAAATTGTACTAGCAATTCGTTGTTTGGACAAGGGGTGATACTCATCCCTTGCTCTGACATGGATCAATCTTCCTTGCCCAATCTTATCGCTCCCAGAGTGGCAATTCAAAAAATGTTCTCTAGGGTTCTCGGAAATGTGATTAATGGGCTTGTTGCTCCATCTTGGGGCATCAACAACCTCTTGCAGCAATTGCACTTCAGTTCTTCCACAACAAAGGTCGAAATATTGACATTGAGTGAGCGCATCGGCAGCGGCGACAGTAGCAGTTACATGGACAGCAGGTATGACAACATCAGTGCCAGCTAATACATGTACGATTCCTCTGTATTGCACCGGAATTTTGATGTACTCAAGATCCTGAATAATGTCTTGCATGTCTCCGGTGCAATTGTGAAAGGTGATCTGCAGAGAAACCTCTGTAGAGTTGAAAGGTTGAGTCACCTTCCAAGCAAAGATTTCCTGTGAGTTCTTCACATTGCAAATGTGAAATCTTGCGGCATGCAACGCGAGGCTGTCAGGGATGGTAAGCTGCTTTTGCCGAAGACCCAAGATCGCCTTCTGCAGCTGATAGGGGTCCGCAAAGATCCTCAGATACTTCCCAGGAGCAGTGTGGAACGCATTCATAAGCCTGTGCTGATTGAGAATGCAATGCACTTGAAAGGCTTCATCCTTAGTTCGGGCAGAGTTGATAGCATATGGGAGGTCAACGAAGTTGACACTATTGCCCGGCATCCCTTCAAGAGGCGCAAAGCGATACCAGACCTGGAGCTCAATTTGTGATTTGCCTTCAGTTTGTTTGAGCACCTTATCATACATCTCTTCAACCTTCAGCATTAAAGCTTGAAGTTGACTTATGCTGATCTTAGGCGCTCTGAGGCAAACAACACATCGATTCTCCTGATCAGTTAACGCAACGATGGGCTGCTGTGGCTTCCTAATGTGAGCCAGTCCAAAGTCTCGACTGAGGTGTTTAACTTCCTCGTCAAATGTTCCAACAGTGCCAGCGATAATGACTTCAGTGTTGCCGGCTTCTTGCTTCATGGAAGGCGTTATGGCAATGTAGTAGCAAGTGTGATGGACAGGGTAGCTGCTGGGAATGTAAGTGACCAAGTATACAAGTTCCCGTTTGCCCTGCACTTCAATGGCACCAATAACCGTCAAGCTGTGGATTTGACGAAGGAAGTCTTCATCATAACTCCTGAAGAGTACACATGGGATGTCTGATATGGAAAGTGAGCTGTGCAAATTACTCACGATCGTTATACTCGTCTGTTGTGTAAGACCCTTCCTTAGATTATGAAGGAAATTCTTACTAGGGTTGACGAGTAAGATAGATTGGAGCTCTGAGCCCTGCACTTGGCGCAATTCTTGCATAGTTTGTGTAGACACGATACATCCATCTCTAAGATACTCCAGCAAATGTGTTGATGGTGTTCTGGCAAAGAGAGCATCATACTCAGTGAGATGACCCAACATAAAGTCGGCAAGACACTGAAATGCGCTTCCATCGATGTTGCTGATTCGATCTTGCGACATGGTGCAGATACCTTACGCCGAAGCTATCCGTACTGCACAATGCGCAAGACAAATTTGCCAAAAGGTGCAATAAAGTAAAGAAGCTCCCACCCTTAAGAAGTTTGCAAGAAAGAGAACGTGCGTTCACACTCAGCAACTTAACAAGGAAGGAAACGGGCGTTCCCAACTTTCAAAAAGAAAGGGAACACAACGTAAAAAGTAAGAGAAAGAGAACGGGCGTTCTCAATCTCAGCAAGTTGCAAGAAAGAGAAGCGTTAGAGAAAGAGAACGGGCGTTCTCAGTCTCACTAGTAAAGCAAGAAAGAGAAACCAAGAGAAAGAGAACGGGCGTTCTCAGTCTCGACTAGTTAGAGAAAGGTGGCAGGACAACTGAGGGCTCAGTTGACGCAACTTTCGAGCGCTCAACCCACAAAGACTTAAGGGAGAGCCAATGCAGCTTGCAAAGTGTTTACAGTGCGAAATCCAAAGCCAAGCTTTGGATTCTTCTTGCAAGCGGGCGCTCACAAGGAACTGCGCAATGCTAAGAAGCCCCAGCTACAAAGCAAACACAGCACCAAGCACACCTACGCCTCCAGGCTGTCCCAGAGGGGGCCGCTACCTACGTGTAGGGTTCCAAGCAAAGCCAGACCTTTAGCTACGGACTCCCACCCCTTCTACGGCGTCCCTGGTGGCTTAACCACCTCGAGCAAAGCGGCCTTGAGCCAAAGGGGGTACGGATTGGCCGCTTGTGCCACAGACGCCTAGCGGCAACATTAGTGCCCATTGCCCATGTCCGCAAGGAAAGTTGGTCCCTCGCACAGGATTACGACGGTTCTCAAGAGCCGCTGGAACCGCCAAAAGCCAAGCCGAGAGGGCCAAGCGAACCACTCGCAATCCCAGCACCTCAGCCAATACGCCCCCAATGCAGGGCAAAACAACATCGGTCTGTGGGCTTATGTGGCGTGCACTCCAAGCAGGAGACCCTACATGAGCCTGCGCAACTCGAATCTTACGACGCATTGCCAGCAGCTTCGTGCGTACAGAACCTATAAAGAGTTGCTAAATGGCTTACCGCACCAGCTACAGGATTCAAACGCGTTGATAAAAATTGCAGACACCCTTCTTCATCTGCCTGAGACTTTCCCGGCGTCTTATCCAAAGGTCTTCGACCCCATCATTGCGCAATGCCTTCGGTTGTTGGAAGAAATCCGATAATCCCTACTGGGCCTTCTGGCGAAGGTGCTGGCAACCGTTTGCGAGCATATAAGCCTTCTGAAGAAGTTTTAGGCAGCAGTTTAGGGTCTACTCACTGCTGGCACAACATAAGGGCACCCCTCCAACATGAACAGGCTTTGTCCCACGGGCGCATACTGTCTCTGCAGGATTGTATTGTCTGAATCGGTCGCTGTCGCTACTCAATGGCGGCTTCCGTAATGGGAGCCCTCCAGGGAGTCTGCTGCTCTTGGCTGCGGCTCGCGGCTGCCCCACTGGCTGGCCACCACGGGGAGCCCTGGGTTGGTCTGCAGTGCTCACTTGTCAGTCCCCAGTGGTTGACCACCATTGGGCGCACGGACGCTTGTAAAAGGAAGTTTCCATGGCACCCCAACCTGCCTCGGCGACTGTGGTAAGGTGTACAACTTTATGGTGTCTGAGCTCTGGACCCTTGTAGTTGACCATGCCGTTTTCTCTTGCCTTGTGGAAGTAAGGATTCGTGCAACATTGGCAAACCCTCAGGTCCACTGCTTCGCTCTGTGCAAGAACTGGTGTTTTCCCCAGTGGAATCGGTCGCTACTGATGCGCATTGACCTCTCTTCTGGCTGGTTGATGCAACTTGTCGGGACGGAGACACCTTTTTGGGTGGGCGCTGCAGTGAGCCTAATGAAGCGGAGAGCCTCTCGTTCGGGGCTGCTCCACTGGCTCACCTCCATGGAGTACTCTGGGCTGGTCTTGCCTTGATTGTTCATCGTGTTATGTCCAAGATAGGACTGCCCAGTCTTCCTCTTTTCCGCCCCTCTTTGACCGGATAGGTTGCCCTTTCTGTGCTATGGCACTGCCAAAACCCCTCGGCTTTGAAACCCAGCAGCCGCCCACACTGGTTGCCCCACCGCTCATCACGAGACGAGACAACGCTTGGCTCATAGTGAGTCATGGCAATGCGATCCTCCCCTTTGTGGTATCTCGGCCGAAGAAGGCCAATGCAGTGGTGCTGCTTCTCCCAGGTCGCGGGCACTTATGTCTGAAGAATATACACCCACTGGAGTAACCTGGCCTTCAAAAGGGCCATCATCGCCTATGCTTGGCCTGTGGCAGGGCAGGCTGGCTCTCCGCTCGCCTGGATGCTACCTGACGGCGCCACCTAAGCGAACGCTGTGTATACCATGGAGATCTTGGGCTCTTGCAGGCTGCCAAAAGTGATGTGAGCCCTCACATCTTCTTGTTGACGTACCTTATTGGCTTTGGCTCTGGAGGGACCACTGCTTACCAAAGTGCAGTCGCTGAGACCCCGGCGAGCTTTCGGGCTTTGTTAGACTGTATAGCCTGTCTTTCCCCCCAGTTGTGTAGAGTAGGCTGTAGGGAGGTAAGAAGTGTAGGCCAAACAACTGTTTTGCCTGAAATCTCACATGGCCCCTGCAGCAAAGACTGACACACACAAAGCGAGACATGCAAAGCCCTTTTGCTGAGAAAGAGGTGTAGATTTTCATGGTAGCGGAGCCGAGCGATCCAAAGAGGTTGCCGGCGTCCGAAAGGAAATCGAGCCCAAACCCGTAGTGTCCTGCCCTGCCCGAACCCAAGCCTTTCTCGAGCGATAGTGCTGCTGGGCGATCTGCTGGACAGACTTGGAAGGGCCAAGCGAACTTTGGTGCTGCTGGCGGAAGTTAGTGGCGGCCTCCTGGAGCAGCTGTGGGCTGCTGGGCGAAGGACTTGTTTCACTTCGACCCGATCCTGGACTCCCTGGAGAAGCAGAGGCTTCTGAACGGCGACTTGGTGAACCGTGCGAAGTTTGTGATCGCGGATTGGTTGGTGGAGAAAGAAGGCCGAGTGCCAGGGCCAGAGCTTTGGCTCCGCCCCGCACTCTGGAAGGATGGCTCAAGCGAGAGCTGTTTCTGAGGCTGCTCAGGCAGCTGAAAGGGCCACAGCCGCTGCAGAGGCGGTGATGAGGAGCGCCAACGAGCAGAGGCGACTGGAGTCTTTGTCAAGGATCATCCAGAAACCCGACATGTACAAGCCGGAGACAAGGGAGCAGGAGATCGACCAATGGATGGAATGGAGGCATGTGATGCGAAACTACTTGGGCGTCGTGGACCACCAGTTTCTGGAGGAGCTGGATGTCTTTGAGGGCAATGCTTCGAATGAGGTTGTCCTCAGCACACTGAACGACGGCGCCAAGATGAGAAGCCGAGAGCTCTACGCCATCTTGCAAAGCTTTGTTCGCAACCGCCCGGCAAAGATTGTTCGGAATGTCGGCCAGTCCAATGGCTATGAGGCATGGAGATTGCTGATGGTCGAGATGCAACCCAAGACGAGACAAAGACAGCTGGCCTTGATGACCCAGCTGAACTCCATGACCTTTGACCCGAGGAAGTCCCTGAACGAACAGCTCGGAAAGTATGAGGAGGTTATTCGGGAGTACGAGCGCATTAGTGGCACGACCTACCCCGAGGACCTGAAGGTGTCAACTTTGGTGAGTGCAGCTCCTTCCGTTCTACAAGTTCAGCTGCACATGTCCCTCAGCAGTGACACCACCTACCACGACTTGAAGGAGAAGGTGCTTTCGTACGAGCGATCGACTACCAAATGGCAGGCAGCCAATGGTCTTCAATTTCCTGCTGTACATCAACAAGAAGATGGACCTGTGCCCATGGAGATTGACAAGGTGACCTACCCTGATGGTGGCAAGAAGGGAAAGAAAGGCGACAAGGGCAAGACGAAGAAAGGCAAGGACAAGTCCAAGGGCAAGAAGGGCAAGATGAAGGATGCAGATGGGAAGGCGAACAAGCCGAAGGGCAATTGCCACACATGTGGCAAGCCAGGGCACTATTCCCGAGAGTGCTGGTGGAACACTGGAGGTGCTGGAGGTGCTGGCAGTGGAAAAGGTGGCAAGGATAAGAACCGGAAGAAGGTGAACCAGGTCCAAGCCGAAGCCCAGAGTTCAGAAGCCACTTCCAGCAACCCAACGGCAACGGCTTCGTCAAGGACACAGGCAGTTCGGCAAATTCGACTTCGCACCCCACCTTTGACGAGTACGACCGAGATCTTCGACATCTCCGAAGAGGCCTTGTTTGACTTGGACCAGGAGTACCACATCAACATGATCTCGGCGGACGAGGTGGTGGTGGATTGGAAAAGCCATCCCCCGATTGCAATCGTACTAGACACCGGAGCTGATGCCAGCATGGTACCCTATGACTACGCTGCGCTTGGAGTCGAAGGAGATGGAGCACCGCCTAACCTCTTGGATGCCCAGGGAAACCCCATCGCGACCCAGGCCAACAGGAAGTTTGACTTCTGGTTCAAGAGCAAAGATGGCCAGGAGTTCGCCGTGAGAGAACAATGTGTAGTGGGAAATGTCAAGCAACCGCTCCTAGCGGTGGGAAAACTCCTTCGCAGAGGGTGGCAGCTCGTACATCACGGAGGCACCTTGACCTTGCAAGAACCATTTGGTCGTGGGGCGCCTGTCGGCTTCAAACATAACAGCTTGGTGGCTGCCGGCCACATCCGTTCGGTACAAGTCGTCAACGCTCTCACAGAAGTGCCGAAGAGTATGCCCCCGACAACACCCAAGCTTGAGAAGTTCCCCGAAGAGATCCAGAAGTTGGTGGGCAAAATGGGCATGCACAGCTTACCTGAGCGAGGATGGAAGGTTCACTTTGAAAGTAAGGCAACCCATCTATTGGACCCGAGAACGTGGTATGATCCTGATCTTTATCGTGCACGAACTACCTGGATGCAAACTTTGAAAGGACTCTGGATCCAAGTGGAGAACTCCGAAGACTACTCGAGCGAGTTCAGACCCTATGCACGCATCTGCGATGAGCCTCGTCCCCGACTTACTTTCGTGTCGATGGACAGCTTTGGTGAAGGATGCTTTGGTGGAGTTGGAATGCCGCCGAAGAGAAGCTGTCGTTTGGAGAACGAGATCGAGGTCGAGGACGAAGTGATGGAAGATGCTTTGAGTGCAGCCGAGACACCCCTTCAGGAGGCGCCGAGCTCTTCCAGTGGGCGAGCCGAAGTCAGAGGCCACCAACAAGCCGCGACTGCAAAGGAAGTCATCCAGGACATGTATCTCGAGGAGGTTTCCTCCGACAAAGCCGCGACTGCAAAGGAAGTCATCCAGGACATGTATCTCGAGGAGGTTGCCTCCGACAAAGCTGAGAGAGCAGCAAAAGAGTCGATGGCCCGACAGCCCAATATGATGCCAAGATCGGACCCGGAACCGACTGAAGATGAGAAGAAGAAGCACCAGGTGACCCACATGCCCTATGCCAGCTGGTGCAGTGCATGTGTCAAGACGAGAGCGAGAGGAGACAAGCGCAGCGAAAGAAAGGACCAGAAGCACATCCCAGTGATCCAGGTCGACTTCTTCTTCACTGTAGTGGATCCTGAAGGCCGGCCCTTAGAGGGACAGCAAGATGAACAGACATGCTCATTGGTGGCCGCCGATCTGGATACGAGAATGGTGTTGTCGGTGCCTGGACCGAACAAGGGCAAGCAGTCCTTAAGGAAATACGTGGAGGACCTGGTGAAGTTCAGCATTGCCCTCCACGAAGACGATGGCATCATTCTTCAAAGCGATGGAGAACCTGCAATCAAAGCAGTAGTGAGGGTAGCGACTGAAGCTCGAGCGAAGATGGGGCGGCGAACGGTGCAGAGAACAACGCCAGTGCAAGACCATGCAGCTAATGGAGCGGCAGAGCGAGCAGTGCAAACCGTCCGCCGACTTGGGAACTGCCTCATGGAAGCGGTGGAGGAGATCCACGGCAAACAACCTGTTGGGTCCGACCTTCGTGTTTGGGCCCAAGGACATGCAGCTTTCCTCTACAACAGGTTCCACGTCCTTCAGAACTTCCAGAAGACACCGTATGAGCTGGCGTTCGGAGGACAGCCCTACAAAGGAAAGTTGTGCACCTTCGGCGAGACCGTCTTTGGAAAACTTGTCACCCCCTACAAAGGAGGAGCGCAGTGGTGCACTGGCATTTGGGCTGGTGTGAATCCACACAACGGGGCCCACCACATCCTCACCGAGAATGGCGCGATTGAGTCGAATGCGGTGAGGGTTTCTGCCGAACAGCTTGACGTGGCGAAGTTCAAAGGCCTGCCCTGGGAGACCAAAGCCGTGGTGATCAAGATCAAGAAGCGAGTGGCACCGCCGGAGCCACTTATGGTTGAGGTTGGTCCAAAGCCTTTGTCTTCTGCAAAGGCAGGGGATACGCCAGCAGGTGACGCAGACGCGACGCATCTGGGCGGCGCAGCTGCGGCGCAACTCGGAGGCGCAACTGTTGCTCGACCCGACGGACCCGGTGATGAAGCGGCCAGCGACCCACCGAGCAGTGAAAGCGAGGAACTGATGGCAGAGAGACCGCAAGCGAGTTCGCCGAGCAGGTCGAGCAAGCGCAGGGCCGAGGAAGACGTGGAGAAGCTCACCGAGAAGCTCACCGAGGAGGTGCTGGATGAGATCAGCAAGGACAAGGACCAAGTGGAGTTCTTTAAGAAGTTGCGCAAAGAGAGAATGGAGAGAGAAAAGGGTGAAAAGAGGAAGAGTGAAGATGCCGAACTTCCTCCTCGTGATCTAGAAGGACACATCCGCCAGATCCAGACGGTGGATTCCGAATGGTATGATGGAGATGAGCTTTGGGAGCCAGAGAATCACGATACCGACTTCTATGAGTCCGACCACGACGCGACCTACCACAAGCACAACACCTTGGACAGACCGAAGGGAGACACTCCCCCAGAGGTGGACGAGGAGACCCTGAACCACCTAGATGACCTCGCCGAGCTCCAGGAGATCGAGAGACTGGAAAAGATGTCCGTCTTGGTGGATGTGTGCCCGGAGGAGGATGCAGAATGGTTGTCTACGACCTTTGTCAAAACATGGAAGGCCGAGGCAAAGGGCGAGGATGTCACCACCTGGTGGCGACGCGCCCGGCTGGTGGCACGTCAGTATCGACACTTCAACGAGTTCGAGCCGGAAGACACCTTTTCTCCGGCCTCTACGAGTTCCCTGCTGAGACTGCTCCCGGTCGTGGCCCAAACTTGGAATACCCCGATATGGATCATCGACGTGAAGGACGCGTATCTCAACGTTCCTCAGCCCAAAGAATCGCCTGTCATCGTCAAGGCTCCGGACTCTTACGTCAGGAAGTATGGACCCAAGACCTGGAAGCTGGCCCGAGTACTTCCTGGACAAAGAAGGGGATCTCAGGAGTGGTATCTCTTTCTCAACAGCGACCTGAAGGAGCTGGGCATGGAGGCGATGATCGAGGTCCCGACCTTGTACAGGGCAGTCAACAAGGAAGAAAGGCGTGCTGCGCAAGTACATGTGGACGACGCGATGGTGACGGGAGATGCCCGACAAGTTGAACCTTTCCTGGAGAAGTTGGGCAAGAAGTACACCATCAAGATCCAAGGGCCATTTGGGCCCGGAGAAGCATTTGAGTTCCTGCGGCGACGATTCCAGGTGGAGTGGAATGGAAGCATTACAGTGCGGCCTGCTGCCCATTTCTACAACGACGTCTACGAGCTCTTGGAGAGACCCAAATTGAGGAGCACACCTGGACCTGCCGGAGGAGACCTGTTCGCCGAGGACGCCAGCGAAGAGATGGCAGACGGCAAGCTGTATAGAACCATTGTGGGCAAGCTTCTCTACATTTCGGGAGAGCGACCTGATGCACAGGTGGTCATACAGTACCTGGCGGCAAAGGCCAGCAGGCCAACCGTGACCGCTACGAAAATCCTCAAGCATCTGGTGGGCTACCTGAAGGCGACGGAAGGGCAAGGCATCAACCTGAAGTGCGAGAAAGGAGAGTCCATCATGCGAGATGGCGACCCCGAAAGCTATAGCTATCAAACCCATCATTTGGTCGAGGCCGTCTCCGACAGCAACTTCGCCAACGACCGTACCACCAGGAAGTCCCTGTCCTCAGGCCACATCTACTTGAACAAGTGCCTGATGTTCTCGTTCGTCCGAGGACAGAAAGTGGTTACGTTGAGCTCTGGGGAAGCAGAGCTGGTGGCATTGACGCAGACAGTGGGCGAGAGTATCCTGGTGAAGAAGGCCTGGGAGTTCCTGACCAGGGAGGAGACCTGGCATTTGGCCAGGACAGACTCTTCCGTAGCTCGGGCCATAGCTACGCGACTTGGCGTGGGCAAAGTTCGACATTTACAAACCTCGTGCCTTTGGTTGCAACAGTGGATTGCGAGAAAAGAATTGAGGATGGCCGCGATTCCAACATCCAAGAACCCGACCGATTGTGGTACCAAAATTCTTCCAGGATCGAGGTTAAAGTACCTGAGCTTCATCATGAATCTGGTGGATGGAAAGAGCAACAGGATTGGAACTGAGGAGCACCGGAAGGAGGCGATGACATTGTCCCCGAACCTGATCCGAGCCATCCAAGCGGTGATGGCCATGAGCTTGCAAGGATGCATTGGAGGCAACGATGATCAGATGGTAGACATGTGGACCTACGTGTTCATCTTCGCCAACTACTTCGAGCCCATCGTGAACAACCCGATTTTCGACTACGGCATCATGATCATGCTCCTCTTGGTGATGTGCATGCTTGGTGCGAATTGGAAAGTGGAAGTAAGAGTCAGCTCCAAAGGAGCAGACTCGAAGCATGAGACAAAGGAAGGGCTTGAGCCCGGCTACGAAGATGGACGAAAAGGCCCTGGAACCACAAGCGAACGACCCTCGAGTTCTACATCTTCTGGGCCCACGATCAACATAGTGCTCAACACTCAAGACCATGGAACCACAGTCGAACGACCATCGAGTTCTACATCTTCTGGGCCTGTACTATATCGTAAAGTACCTGGAGTCCCTGGCGATCGTGAACAACGAGCTGACCCACCGGGAGAAGTAGATCAGCTACTCGAACGTGCAGAGTCTCTTCAACGACAGCAGCAAGAACGAGTACAAGCACATCCGCCGTCAAGGGATCCACAGGGCATTGTGTATGGCAAAGTGAATCGAAGCCGGCGAGTGGCAGTGGCCACAGCGTATGGATACAGCTTCCACGAGGCCAACTGTTCGAGCATCACAAAGGATGCCAAGCAGAGCCGGATGATGACAGTGGAAGAAGCTTTGCTTTTGGGCAAAGCACCGTGCCAAAGGTGCCTGCAGCCCATCTTCGATGAGCTGAAGCAGCTGAACCCCAACAACAAAGTGTTCGATGGACAGCGGAAGCGGAAGTGAACATGACGGCTGGAAGTTTCCGTGGTAGAGTGCAGAGTGCTGAGTACAGACAGAGCTACACTTTTGACAGTTGGACATTAGCATGTTCAACTGAGGGGGCGTGTTAGACTGTATAGCCTGTCTTTCCCCCCAGTTGTGTAGAGTAGGCTGTAGGGAGGTAAGAAGTGTAGGCCAAACAACTGTTTTGCCTGAAATCTCACATGGCCCCTGCAGCAAAGACTGACACACACAAAGCGAGACATGCAAAGCCCTTTTGCTGAGAAAGAGGTGTAGATTTTCAGGCTTGCGTGTGTGGCCTCCCCTCTGGCTGTCTGTTGAGACATTGCTTGCGCGCGGACATCTTTCCAGGTGGGCGCAGCTGCAAGCCAGGGTGAGCGGGACCTTTCGCTCGGGGCTGCTCCACTGGCTAACCACCATGGAGTGCCCTGGGCTGGTCTTGCCTCGATTTTTCTTGCTGTTAAGTCCCCGCTGGCTGACCACCATGGGGCATACGCACGTCTTTCCTCTCCTTGGGGAGTTTGACCTCTCACACCCCTTTGCCAATGCGGGTTTGTTATCTGTCCTGGACGACGGGTACGGGATCCTGACGGCCGAATATCGACTCTGGAGAGACCAATGCGGCGGTGCTGCCTCTCCCAGGCTGCGGGCACTTCTACGTAGAGAATAGGCACCTACTGCCTTGGCCTAGAGATATCGAACACCTGTGGAGTAACTTGGCCTTCAAAAGGGTCATCATCGTCTGTGCTTGGCTTGTGGCAGGACAGGCAGGATCTTTGCCCGCCTGGATGCTACCTGACGGCATCGCCTGGACGAAAGCTGTGTATACCACGGAGATCTTAGCGCTCTTGCAGGCTGCCAAAGTGATGTGAGCCCTCACATCTCCCTGCCGACGTATCTTATTGGCTTGGACTCTGGAGGGACCATTGCCTGCCAGATTGCGGTCCCCGAAACCCCGGCGAGCTTTCGGGCTTGCGTGTGTGGCCTCCGCTTTGGCTGTCTGCTGAGACTGTGCTTGTGCGCGGACATCTTTCTAGGTGGGCGCAGCTGCAAGCCAGGGTGAGAGGTGAACCTTCCGCTCGGGGCTGCTCCACTGGCTGACCACCATGGAGTGCCCTGGGCCGGTCTTGCCTTGATTGTTCTTTCTGTTAAGTCCCCACTGGCTGACCACCATGGGGCATACGCACGTCTTTCCTCTCCTTTGGGGAGTCTGACCTGTACCATCCCTTTGCCAATGCGGATCCGTGATTTGTCCTTGACGACGAGCACGGGAGCCTGACTATCGATGATGACCTTGGTTCGAGCCGAATGACGTCGCACCAGTTGCTACATGATGGTGGTTTTGACAATCTGGCAGTGTCGCAATTTGCGACCCCCCGCATGCTTGCACCGGGACTTTAACGACGACTTCGACTAGTAGTTCCTAGTAGTTCGGCGCCTTTGCTTGCTTTGTTGCTTCTGTTTTCTTGTTTTTTGGGTGGTTGCGTGGTGTTCTTGGTGGTTTGCGCGCGCTGACTTCGTTTCACCCGTTACGTCGAGCCCAATAAGACCGGCCTACTGTGCTACTGATGTAGTAAAGGGGCGCCAGTCCAAAAAAAAAGCTTGGACTCTGGAGGGACCATTGCCTGCCAGATTGCAGTCCCCGAAACCCCGGCGAGCTTTCGGGCTTGCGTGTGTGGCCTCCGCTTTGGCTGTCTGATGAGACTGTGCTTGTGCGCGGACATCTATCTAGGTGGGCGCAGCTGCAAGCCAGGGTGAGAAGAGGACCTTCCGCTCGGGGCTGCTCCACTGGCTGACCACCATGGAGTGCCCTGGGCCGGTCTTGCCTTGATTGTTCTTGCTGTTAAGTCCCCACTGGCTGACCACCATGGGACATACGCGCGTCTTTCCTCTCCTTTGGGGAGTCTGACCTGTACCATCCCTTTGCCAATGCGGGTCTGTTATCTGTCCTTGACGACGAGTACGGGATCCTGACTATCGAATGATGACCTCGGTTCGAGTCGAATGACGTCGCACCAGTAGCTACATGATGGTGATTTTGAAAATCTGGCAGTGTCGCAATTTGCGACTCCCCGCATGCTCAGTGCTGTGTGATTGCACCGGGACTTCAACAACGACTTCGAGTACTGAGTGCGTGGGGTTACCTAGTAGTTCGGCGCCTTTGCTTGCTTTGTTGCTTCTGTTTCCTTGTTTTTTGGGTGGTTGCGTGGTGTTCTTGGTGGTTTGCGCGCGCTAACTTCGTTTCACCCGTTACGTCGAGCCCAACAAGACCGGCCTACTGTGCTACTGATGTAGTAAAGGGGCGTCAGTCCAAAAAAAAAATGAACACTTCTAGTCCGTCTGCAATTTGGAGTGGCCTGACACAACTGATGGGTATTCCTGCGTAGGAGGTCGATGAGGATAAATTGTCGCAAGCCTGTCTGTTGTCCCGCAATACAGCCGTCACTGATCCGTCAACTGCAGCTGAGGGAGTCAGCATGGGCTGACATGCCTCCTTCTGGAATTGGATACGTGGCCGGGCTGAGACACAGTTGTGCGCCTGAGGGGAGCTCTTGGTCGGTTTTCCAACTGGGAACCGTCAAAGTATTGGCTCTGACTCGGAGTTGATCCACTGGCTGACCACCATGGGGTGCCCTGGCTGGCTGACCACCATGGGGCGCGCGCTGGCTTTCCTTCTGCTGTAGGAGAAAGTGAGGTTTGACTCCCAGGTCGTCTTTCCCCTCTGAATCGGTAGCCGCTGCTTTGCAGGCTCCCTCTCTGGGAAGTGCTGACCGCAGCCCCTGTTTCTGCTTGGGTCTGTGGTCAAACTGGGCTCAGTTGTGCACTATAACTTTGGCCGGGCTCCGATAATAAAGCCACAAGTTGTGTCGGTTGCTCGGGGCTGCCCCACTGGCTGACCACCATGGGGTGCCCTGGGCTGGTCTTGCATCCATTGTTCTTGCCAACAAGTCCCCACTGGCTGACCACCATGGGGCGCGTGCTGGCCTTGCTTTCCCTCTGGGATATTGGGCCATTTTGTACCTTCCCTTTTCGCTATTGTGCGGTTGGTGCCTCACCGTGTCGGTCGGTAATTCTGATCTTCGATTTACAGCTTGCCGGCTGACCTTCTTTGCGCCAGTGGCTACATGATGGTGGTTTTGATGATCTGGCATACCCTCGCATTTTGCGACCCCCCCGTATGCTTTGCGCTGCTCGATTACACCTGGACTTCTGCGACGACTTCGAGTACTGAGCGCGGGGGACACGTAGACTTTTGGTGCTCTGTTCTTGCGGGTTGCTGCTGGTTGGTGGTTGTGTTTTGTGGTTGTTTTGGTGTGTGTTTGCTTTTGTTTTCGCACCTGCTCCGTTTCACCTCTCGTATTGAGATCCCTAAGAACGGCCTACTGCGCTGCTGATGTAGTAAAGAGGCAATGGTCCAAAAAAAAAAGCTAGACAGTGGAGCAGACTGCCATGTCCTGCCGTTCGCAAATTTGGTACCAGCCCCAATCCTGATCGAAGATGGTCGAATTGCGACTGAAGGAAGGAAAGGAACACTCATACGGAGGTCGACTCCGAGTGTATGCACGGGGAAAGGGAGACCAGGACTAACCTAACCAGAAACCCCAACCAAGCACAGAGGCAAGTCCTGACAGGAGGGAGGCTGCCCCACTTGCCATATGCTCAGCTGTTTCCATGCGCGTAAGGCACGTGACCGGAAGGAAACTTCACATGCATCGGTAATCAACCAGCGCCTGACGAACGCTAGCAAGATGGTCGAGCACTCGGAGATTTTGGATTTTGGTACGTGCCGGCAGCGGCCATCCAATCCTTCGCTGCATGCTATCAGCAGGCAAGTTCGGACGGGAAGCGCGGAAATGCGCACAGCTCCACGCACAGTGGTCCCACGTAGGGGCATAGCACTCTCTGCAAAATGGACACCACAGCTCGGCATGTCCAGTCAGCTGGGATTGGAGTCTGGCCGGGCTGACCACAGCAGCCGTAAGCACCGCACGGCCATGAGCGCAGGTAGCACTCCACAGCTGAGAAGCTTGCTTGAGACGAGCAGGTTGGAAAATCGGGTTACCCGCAGCCACGGCGTCGAGTCTGCCCGAAGTTCTCCAGGCATCAAACCGCCGAAAGCGCCATGCTTCTCTGAGTAGGTGCTTGAGACGGTCAAGTTGCAAGTTTTGAGTCCACCTGACGCATTGCCTCGGGACGGCCTGGTGGGTCCAAGAGCCATTGCGTTGCTGTTGCCAGCCCAGGAATTTGAGGCGGGTAGCAACAGCATATTGCCAAGTGCCACACATGGCGTTGGGTTGCCATCGCGCGCGGCCAAGTTGGACGAGTTTGGCCCACATGGAAATGGTTTGGTAGTCTGCCATGAACTGAAAGTCCAAGCTATGGCCGTGCATCAACGCACGCAGGTCAAGCGAGGCAGGTGATTTGCCACCATACAGGACACCAAAGAGGCGTTGCTGGAGCTGCTTCCAGGTACGCGCAGCACCATACACGAACCACGTGCCCCAGACGGCCACAGGGATTACCAACTGCCGAATGAACTGGCACTTAGCCGTGAACGTCACAGGCAGGCAACCGATACGGCCAAGGCGTGCGCGGGCCTCACGAAGACGGTTTTGATAAGTGGGCCTGTCTTTCCCATTGATGCGGGTGCGAAAGTCAACCCCCAGAATGCGCAGCGTGTGCACAACAGCAACAACCCCAGACTGGCTGACCTCCTGAGCCGCGGCGGAACCGCGCGGAAGGAATTTTTGTTTGCTGACGTTTTCCTCGAGGCCAAGCATACCCGCCCAGCGCATCCAGAATTGGAGGGTGCGATCAAGCTGCGCATGGTTACGAACCGCAATGTTACGGTCGTCAAGGTAAGTGACAGCAGTAGCAGTGGGCTCTTCACGGGAGAAGGCTTGGATGGGAGCCCACAAGATCGCATTAAGAGCCATTGGAGAAATTGCATCTCCCTGGGGCAGGCTAGAACTAACCACTTCGGCTTCCGCACAAATGCAACC